TTTTGATAGGCGTCCCGCATTCAAGACTTGGAAGTAAACGCCCACTGCTATGATCGGGTAACCGTTTTGCATATTAACGATCTATAACAGTGTGGCGGATGTTTCAAGACTGACCTGACCGAGGCTCGACAAACATCCACCACAAACAGACAAAGAAATAGTGACACATGGTAAAAACACTGTTACTCACACTTGTCTGTTGCGACATTACTGTTGGATCCAATGTAGTTGTCACTGCATCATCTTTTATTTTCAGTCTCTCTGAAAAGCCTAGGTCGAACTGTGTCTTGTTTAAAAACGAATCTGCAGTAAAATGAAGCAAACAGCGTCTTACTGACACGACCTGATGAAGTTCATCCACGCATTCTTAATGTTAGAATCACAAGGAGGGCAATACAAAGACAATAGCACAATCCTGTGTTTGCTTCTGTCTCGTATATAGTACCTCGACATGCGTCAGTGGGAGGGGCTAAAGAGGCAATTATGTAGAAGTAGGTGTTGATCTTCTGCAGAGGTGGTCTTTCCAACGCTATCTCATGACCAATTCGGACGAATTCGTACTGGTGAGTACGAGGTGGCTAATTCGTACGAATTCGTACGATTTGTCAAAACTCCAGTGATGTGTATGTTTAGGGGCGTGGTCAGGGGTAGGGTCATTCGTACGAATTCATACGAATTGGGCAACTTGTAAAATATGTACGATTTAGTAAAAATCGTATGAATTCGTACGAGTGAGGTCGTATGAATTCGTACGAATTAGCCACCTCGTAAAATACATACGAATTGCCGTGAGATCGGGTTGGTCTTTCGGCGCATATGGCTTAATAATATGACAAAATCCGAAATTATTCATTTTCATGAGCTTGGTTTCAATAAAAACTGTCTTTGGACTTGCAAGTTTTGAGTTCTGAAACTTACAGGATATTTTTATAATACAATGACCTCTTATATGTCAAAAGATCAAAGAAAAAACATTTATTTCTCAATTCATGACCCCTTTAAGATACAATTATGATTAAACACTTAGTGATACTCAGTACTTTGTGAGTTACATGGACTTGAGGAAGGCCGGAATTTGCTAGTAATGATTGATTGAAATTTCGACTGAGCCTTTCTTCTAATCAGATTTGTCTGTTCTTCTTACCCATGTGGGCTAATCAATGGGGTTTGGATAACCAACAGGTGCTCCCCTCAGGGGGGCTGTCCACCGCAATGCACTTAAGCCTGGTTCACACGGCAGGATAATTAGGCCGATTTTAGCCCCGATTTACCCCTTCCGACAATCTTAAGGATGCTCCGATTATCATAAAATAATCTGATCAGATATTCCTGCCGTGTGTGGTGTGTTAAGACTGCTCTCGTCTGCTCGGAAGGACGTCGGGACCCCGGGGACAAACGAGCACGCAGCCTGTGGACTGTGGTGTGTAGCCAATCAGAAACCGAGGTGACGATACGCAGAGGAAGCACCGGGAAACAAAATCAAAACAGCCGGCGGCATGGCGCAAGTCCGGTGGACGTCGAAAAAAAAAAAAACCACAAACTATCGCCACTGCATCCTCTTCGTCCGCCATGATTGTTTACTCTGAAGTCACGTTTGATCTCAAGGGATTTTGCGAGATTTTCCGTCTGACCTGGGAATGCTCGGGAGTCAAATCGGTTTGTGTGTGATGTGTTGATTTTGCCGTGTGGCTGCGCACCACACACTGTACGACCAAAACTGTTAGACCCGTGATTTTTTTATGCCCGTGTGTGGGGTCTCTCAGGTTTGCAAAATCGGCCGACAATTTTAAAATCGTCCCGTGTGAACCAGGCTTTAGATGTTGTGGGTACGACATCTTTCAGTTGAGTTTTTGTTGGTAGCAATGAAGGGTGAATGCTATTTAGAGTATGTGTGAATCACAGTACAATTAGGTCTAAAGCCCTTTGTCTATTGTATGTAAGCAAACATCTCGGTTTGGCTTTGTGTGGCGGCTAACTTGACTGGCATTAGGGTGTGGAGTTGAAAGGGTTCAGCTTTTATGCCCCAATTAACATTATTCAGGAACAGTGTTTGTGTAAAGTATCACTTTATTCACTACTCCTGTATCTTGTTAGCCAATCTGCTGTCCACATGGACAGGAGGTATTAAAGTCTGGACAATTCTGTTATTTCTTTAGTCGTCCAGGTTTAACAACTTTAGCCTCTGAGGTAGATAAGTCAAAACAAACTTGGCAAACTGAAACCGTCTCATTTCTGGAGCACCATTATCGTCTAAAATATCTCAACACTCAGCTTCTCCTCTCCCTCTTGACCCTTTGTGAGACAATCAAAACCTGTAGACCCGGTTGCCATGTTCAGTCTTGGTTTCAATGGCTCCATTGTTGTGTTGTAACAAGACGCCAGAGCTGGTTGTTTGATCCACTCTTCTGAAAAGTTTTCTTTGGGGTCTTCTTTTCACTTCCTTTTTGTTAAGCGATGGATCAGCTGAGAAGGTCAAGGAACACTGTCTTTTGTTGTGCAGTCTCTTCCGGTATCTTCCTTTAAAAAGGAATAAATTGGTATAAATTGCATTCAAAATATTAACTAATTTTTCCACATGACCAAGTTGTCTTTCCTCTGCAGCTCTTAAAGTGCCATTACAATGCTAGTTTGTTGAAGCCTATCCACATTTTTGTCTGGGAGTTGCTTGGATTCGAAGCAGGTGTGTCTGTCAGCCGACTTCTCTGAGGCAAAATCATGGTCTTTAGTGTGAAAGCAGAGAGGCCGCTGTCTCTCAGTCTGAGTGCTAGCAAACTGTCAGAAATCACGTTTTAGTGGCTTGTTCAGGTCACGCTGAGAGAGCAGCCTCTTGTTCCTTACTGTCTCTTTCTTTCTGTTTGACTATCCTTTTTCTTTCTTTCTTCTCCTTTTTGCTGCCCATGTTCGCCAGCGTATACTATAGAGGGCGATACAGTTTAAAGTCGCCATCCATAAAATGCAACATACAGTAAATGTAGAACATAACTCTATATAATGTTACTTTAAAATATATTAACCGCTTGTTTGTTCCCCCATTTTATTAGACTTTTGATACATGGTCATGGATATATATCTATACCAGGCGATTTGTTTGTTATCACTGTGTTGGTGGTAAACAAGAGCTAGTTTGCACCCCACCAGCATGAGGGAGGACAGACATGCAGACACCATCATCACATTATACAAGGTCTTATTGTCTGGCGGGCTGCTTTGCCTTGCGTGGCATGATTTGTGGGAAGCCATCTGTGCTCAGCCTCTTTTGAAATGTGAGAAAGAACATATCCATTTGCATAAGAATAATTGACACTTCAAATTAGCCCTCCAATCACAAAGGATTATCTTTAGTGTATGGGTAAGTAAGTAGAGGCTCTTCCATCCTGGGGAGATAAATAATTTTTTTAGCAATTTTGTATAGCTAAGATATTAAACCTGCCACCTTATTATTATTATTTGTTATTTTTAAATGTATTGTTATTTTTTATTTATTTATTATTTAACAATGTAGTACATAATAATAAAAACAATAATAATAATTATTATATTTATATATTTTTTGGGGGTATTTTTAATTAATTTTTATTTTTAGCCAATTTTAAGTGTTGACGTGTAATGATTGAAAACAAATTCAAATGGTGTGATGAGCAGACTGACAAATTTTATATCTAAACATAAGACAGCGTTTGTAGGTCATGTGGGGTGTGTGTGTGTGACACATATGCCTGCTTGGTTTGTGTATGTGGTAGTGCATATGTAATGTAGTGGAGAGAGAGGAGAACTGAACAAGCACAAATGTTACATTATTGATAACAGCTAATGAAAAGAATCGTTTCAGGATGAACAGAGGGATAAACTGTACATGTCCCTGGATACCCACAAAAGCATGGAGAGATCTATACACAGACATATCACACACACACACACACACACACAATATTTAATGGATAAATATGAACTACCAAATATCTAATTATAGTGTCAAAACTGAAAAGATTTATGAAAATTATAAAAATTGGAAAATATTGCACCCCTTTTTACACAGTGCCAAATGCATTTATCTCAGATTTCGCAGTTTCTGAAAGGCCCTGCGATGGGCCTGCTCCATTGGGTTAGCCGTTAGAAGACGGGGTTGATCTCGCCCACTCTTAGATGGCCATGAATTCATTTGCACACATATGAAAGGAGAGGAGCCCCTGGCAAAGAACCGAGATATTTGTGCTGTCTGGTGTCAGATACCAAGATGAGGGTGTGTTTGTATGTACATGGATGCTTAGCCTCACCCGTCTTGCCTGGTGGAAGAGCAAGGGTTTATCCTGGTCTCCATGGCAACAATGCAGGATGCCAGGGCCGTACCAGACCCAGGGCAAAGCACTTGATTCAGTGGGACAAGGAAGGAAAGCAATTATGTGCATTAATAGTTACATTAGTAGTAGGATTTTCACAGTTGAATGGAGAAACAGTTGAGTTTGACCTTGAGGCATCCTGGTCAGAGACGATATTTGGTTAGCGTTTTTATATTCCTCCGACCCATAGTGGCACATTCATTCGTTCTCACATCAGCACAAGAAAGCACGGACAACATAAGACTTGACAAACCACAGGCTTCTCCAGGACCAGGTTATGATCTGCCTTCATACACCGAGCGGATGTGGAGCATATATTTTTAACCTGAGCCAAATGTGCTTTTTGCAGAGAGGTTAAAAGGGCGAATGAAAAATTCTGTAAATTATTTATAATAGCTGAAACTCTTTTAGTGTTCCTCTGTTCGGTTGGGAGTGAGACTGTGCACTGGAATGTGCTTTACTTATGGATTGTCAGATATGTGGTGAGGAGTTGCTTTTATCTACACCAACAAAAGAGCTGTAGGTGGAGGAAGAAGTAGGTCACGTCATTTACTTCAGGTCAGAAAGGAACAGAGATATTTTGACGGGTTTAACTAGACGTATAGAAGCAGTTCATTCACACATGACACTAATTATTGTGTTTTTTTTCTTCTTTCCTTCTAGTGATGCTTCTGAGGAGGTGCGTTGCTCTTTGCTGTGAGGAAGAAAGGTTAGTAGACTGCACTGTTATGTATGTCACATAAAATGAGGGGTCGTATTTGGGGACAAAAACAACTCAACAGTTAAAGTTGGTTGAGGTGAATCAAAGAAATAAAGTTGCCTCATAGGAAGCAAAGGCATGACAAACCATTGCAAACTCCTTATCCTTTGGTAGGACGCTGTACATTTTAAACAGTGTTTGTTAATACTAACTGAGATGACCATGAAAAACAAAAACAAACAAACAAAAAACCCTTTATCCAGCCTAAAGGCCTGTTCACACCGGGACGAATTTCGCGCGCGTTATTCGCCGACGTTTAACGCCTCGTGACTAAACAAAGGGCGCCTATGCGAGTGTGCACACCGACGCGTAAAACGCCACGCGTAAAAGCGTCATTTTTTAAAAAACGCCTCGGGTTCGTTTTTTTGGTTTGACGCGCCACGTCAAAAACTATCCGACCAATGAGATTGGCGCTTTTGCTCACGTGTCTGGAGCTTCTGAAGTTACAGTAAAACACAACTTGGGGGCGCTCAAACACAAAACGGTCTTGCTGAGCACACATACGTAATGGCGAAGAAGATATACAGCGTCTATACTCTGCCGGGAAGAAATAAGACGAGGAAGATGCAAGGCTAGATGAATGTAGAGCTGCTGGTCTTGTTGGTGTCTTTATAAAGAGACACCAACGACAATAAAGAACTATATGACAAACGCGACAAACTTGCTCTCTTCTTCTGAGTGACAAGCGAGTGTCAGAAGCGTAGTTGCGCAGCGCCACTTTGTGGACCGGGGTATTTCTGTTTTACATTAAGCGCCATCTAATGTCAGGGAATGAATTTGCGTGTTCACTCGGCTCATCGTCAGCGAAAATCGCTTGGGTGTGAACACAAAAAACGCGTTGAAAAACGCTGACGAATAACGCGAGCCGATATTCGTCCCGGTGTGTACAGGCCTTAAAGGCCCAGGTTTATTTCAGTTTTCGCTTTCTTCTCAGTCTTGCTTGGCACGTCCTGATTTTGCAGAGTTGGAAGCATTCCTTGGGCAACTTATTTTGTTGATCCTGGAACAACGTTCCTGTCAGAAAATGTAATCATAACCCTATCCCTATTCATAAACCTAACCCTACCCTTAAGTTATCCCTAAAATCAGAGGGAGATGATAGGTGAATAACACTGATGTAGAAGCACCTAACCCTTGTTGTAAGCCTAAACTTGACATAAACTGTAAACTTGTCCCTCAAATCTGATTGTTCCAGGATCAACAAAGATGTTGATGATGATCCATGAACATGTTGCACTTGGTGAAATCAGGTGCTGTATCATGTGCACAGTTGAGTGCTCAAGCCTTTCAATATACTCCTTTGGAAAGACTTGTTCTTGTGGACTTTGTTTTCAAACGCTCAAGTCGTTCGCACATGCGTTGTTGTACATGCATCTGCATTCTGCACAGACAAAAAAAAATAGAAAATGACGTCACACAGACAGTGCACGGGCCGTCACGCAACGCAGACAGCTACAGTATACTTCGGGCTTAAGCTGGTCTTTCGGCCTGGCCTTCTAAAACTGGGGTGCATGAGTGGATGAAAAGCTTAAATAATTAATTAAATAATAACAATGAAAAGTGTCCAAAACCCCTCTAAAATGAGCCAACCAGGTTGGCCAGGTTTGGAGACCAACTAAGACCAGCAAAGCAGTTAAGGCTGGTTTTAGAGGGGGTTTTATTCCCCCAGCAGAGCGAGTAGCCAACAACATGTTTGTTTTAATAGCTGGTTTATTGCCCTAAACTGCAAAGTACTGCAAAGTAGTTACCCTGCAGTCAATAGTATAAAGTGCACATGGGCACTTAATTTGATGTCTAGGTGATAGTTTTTGAGTTCTTAGATGGCTTTGCCCTTTTCATTCAGGATAGCAGTGTGGTTGGAAGCAGGAGTGGTTGGTGCGCGCCATATTGAGTCGCAGGGTTCAGTTGGGGAAAGAGTGGCTCAAGCAGCTCTTTTATTTCTCAGGGAAATAATGTGCGGTTGGAGAGGAATCTGATACAGATAGGATGATGAATTCTGCAGAGTCAGTAAAACCAAAGTGATGCTGAAAAACACATCTGTGCCGTTCTCGGACCACACTTCAAAGGCACAATGCTTCTCCTGAGGCAGCACGCTGTATGTAGCAAGCACTTTTAATTTATTCCTCTGGGCTGAAGTACTTTTTGTTGTTGTCTTGATTTTGGTATTTAATTATTTACTTTCTGGGACAAGAAATTTAGAATGGAGATGGCTGGATGAGACAAATCTACCAAGCCACTGAAGAAAATGCTGGAAACATGACCGTAAGCGACGTCCAAAATATCCTACCTGTGGTAACTCTTTAAAACTTCAAAAGAGAGCTGCAAAACGTTAAGATATGGCTAACAGTATATGTACTGGCCTAATGGTCCTCTCCTGAATAAAATCTCATGCTTGTTATCGTCTTCCAAAGTTTTCAAGAAATAGAATGCGATACACAGAGAGAGAAAGCTATAAGGCAGTAAGTGGAATCGGATAAGTTATTCTCAAACAGCAAACAAGAAATAATGACGGGAGGCAGAAACGCAGACCCTCCCAGACCTGTGTTCTTCACAACAATATATTTGAAAAAAACCACTCTTATCAGGTTATAAGGAGAAGGGTAAGCAAAAACCATGTGGGAAGACAAGGAGGAACAAAGGTGAAGACAAGAACGTGTTGGACACTCCATTATTGTTTTCCTCTTTGTTAGCGAACAGTACATGAAGATTTTTGAGAACTTGGTGATCTTTTTGTCGTTCACAATCTGTGATAATGGTTTAGACTTAAAGTGATTCATCGGATTCATGTTTCATAATGAGGCAGCAGGGTATTGTTTCCTTTTGTTGAAGAATCGAAGGCCTTTTAAGAAGTTAAACGCCAGGTCAGCGCAAGGAGTCGTAGAATGTCATAGGGATACCTTCCATTTTTTTTATCGAAGATGATGTTTCAGGATGCGAGTCAGATCTCAAAGCCAGTGAAATTTAAAGCAAAGTTTCATCATGTGCGTGCATTGTGTTGTTTTTATTGCAAGCTTGAAACACAGAAAATGGGAAAACAATGGTTCAACAATGGCGTCTACGTGAAGTAGTGCCTACAATGAGGTTTCATTTCAGAAGAAAGATCTTGAGAGCAGCAGTCAGAGGGCCATTCCGGGTCTATTAGAGCCAAACCATTTCAGAATTCAGCTTATGAATGTGCACTTTAAGTCTGACAGGGCAATAGAGACAGTTCATTTTGCTACAATCCTCCATTTTTTATTTCTCATTGATCTGTTCTCCTCAAACTGTACACTTGGATTAAGTGTGTATCTATATTAAAGAGGTATAGTACTACATTGGAAGCCTGCCGACAGACAGCCCAGAATATTGGGAATGTCAAAATCCCTCTTAGCTCTAGACAACTTTTAATAAAACTGGCAAGCTGTGTCGAAAACTTTGTGATGCTTATGAGGACGCTAGAGAGAGAGAGAGAGAGAGAGAGAGAGAGAGAGAGAGAGAGAGGTTCTTTTAAATTCCTTGATAAATGAAATGATCATGGTAGCTTGAGCTGGACTAAATGAGCAGCAAGGGATTTGCAAGGTCTTAATGTCAGAATTAGTGCTTTGTGTCGAATCACATGCCTGAGTGAGGAATAACAAAGCTTTTATGAAAGAAATACTTTTTTGAGACTCACCTTTTGCTTTTTCTTTTGCTTTTTTTACTTTAAAGGGATAGTTCACTCGATAATTAAAATCCCGTCATCATTTACTTACCCTCAAGGTGTTCCAAACCTGTTTCTTTCTTCTGCTGAACACAAAAGAAGATATTTTGAAGAATGTTGGTAACCAGATAGTTGATGGCACCTATTGACTTCCATAGTATTTTTATTTCCAATGGCTACTGTCAACTGTCTGATTACCAACATTCTTAAAAATATATTATTTTGTGTCTTTTAAACTCATATAGGTTTGGAACAGCTTGAGGGTGAGTAAATGATGACAACATTTTCATTTTTGGGTGAACTATCCCTTTAAGAACTATAAAATGGATAGTTTTGACTCCAAATTCTGATAAACCATGTTCGATACATGTTTGTTTCACTTAAAATGACAGAAAATACACACCAGTGACTAAACCGTGCACATTTTATATGTTGCTTGGAAATCACAGACAGCCTACTGTATCCTACATACACGCAAAAAATATTATTTTTAAATTAAATTAAAAAGATATTTTTAATTGGCTTTATGCCACAGCTTCACTACTTCCTGAACTTCAGCCAGCCCTTTGTTTCCTGTCTGGACAAACTGATTAATCCAGGTGCGCCTGGCCTCAGTAACAATAATCAGGCACACCTGGATTAATCAGTTTGTCCAATAATGACAGACAGGAAACAAAGGGCTGGCTGAAGTTCAGGAAGTAGTGAAGCTGTACATAAAGCCTATTAGAAGTATGAACTTACAAAACAAAAGTTTTTAATTATAAAAGTTTGTAAACTGAAACGGCATCTACCATTACTTTTGCATTGTTGTAGAACTAATTTTATATACAGCAAAGTTAAGCATACTAATTGTGAAAAGTAACTGTAACTGAAATAAGATAAAGATTGAAGATTGATTCACTTAAAAACATGCCTGATATTTCTTGGTTTTAATAAAATAGCATTGTACAAACATAACAATGAATAAACAAGATGACAAGTGTAGTGACAGGAACTTTAGTTCTGGTGACGTGAATGCTGAGAAAGACTTGACAACATTTCTTCTAAAGGACAGCTGATTAGGAACACTGTCATTTTAGGGGAAATTTAATGCAATTTTTCTTTTGTTTTATAATGTTTCATTTCAAATTTCTGTGTAATGTATGTCTGCTATAAAAGAGAGTCTGTTCTAACATGTTCTTGTCTCTGCTGTAGGTTGCGAGAGCTCTCCAGCTTATGCCACCCTCATTAGTGTCCAGCACCTGAAGACACGAGGTCACAAACCCAACGAACTGCCCCATTTCATTCAGCTTTGCCGACATGGAAAGATGACCACTGTGACCTAATGTCGCAGTTGAACCTTGTGTGGAGTGCATTATTTTTTATGAAGAAATTGCCATAGACTCGAACATGCTTGTAGATTGTATTCATTCAATAAATTGTGCATTTTTCAAAAAAAAAAAAAGGAACAGGTCTTGTGATTTATTTGCTGAACTGTGGGTGATGAAATATTTAATATCCTGGGTATTAAAATGATCAGTCTCTGATGCATTGAGAGGGTTGACATGGTTGAATCAGTACCACACTAAAGGACTGCCGCACAGGGAATTATTGCTTCAGTCTGAACATGTCACCTCTACAATATTTCTACCATTATAATGTACAATTATCCTTTCTTTCCGTTCTCGTATCTAAGTTTTCTCCGGCTTGTCATTGTTCGAAAATTTCACGCACACAATATGAAAGAACAATAATATCTAGTCTCAATGCTATTGCTTAGATTTGATTTATACACATAAGTATTTCACATGCATAATGCAAAGTAGCTCTCACACTTTTCCAAGAACACTTTTTGTTCTTGGAAAAATTCCTAAATGATGTGACTGAGGTAAAATGAGCAAGACGAATTTCCTGATTAATGTCCCAGAAAAAGCTGTTTTCTCTGAATTGCATCAGGAAGTGGTCAAGATGCACGAATAAAGCTACTTTGGTCTGGAAATGAAAGTTCATATATTCTGCTCTTTCTGCATGTGTCACAAAGAGTTGATCACATGGGAGTCTACAAGAACACCTGAACACAAAGCCAGGCATTGTGTGTCGCTCTGACCTCAGTGTCATGTGACTGTTATGGCCAGGTGTTGCCTGTATCTGGAGCAGCTCTTAAGACCAAAAACATACCTAAAATGAAATAAAATGCATTGAGAGTGAATTACAGATATACTGCACTTTTGTTTTTGTGCAGCGATGCCATATAGAAGAGCCATTTCAGTGAGCAGTTCTTAAAAGAACAATTTTTTCCTAGTTTGAACAACGTTTAAAAAAAATGGTAGAAACCTCTTTCCACTATAAAGAAACTTTTGGGCAATAGAAAAGGAACAATGGAACTACATGGAACAACCAATACGAATAAAGATTCTTTATTTTTAAGAGTGTGTATGCAAATTTTGGGATTCAACTATTTTAAACTGGAAACACACATGCTATTATTTATATTATATTAGTATGCATTACATTTAATACAAATAAACATTAAGATATAAAATATTTAAATATAGAACATAACATAGAAATATTTAAGATTATACACTTATAGGTCACTAATCAAATTTGTAACATTTAAGCATGATATTCTCAAATGTTCTTGAACCATTGGAGGTCAAGATGATCATCTCAAATCAGGCTGGAGAACATGATCATCTGGTTTTACACAACGTGTATTATTGCAGCTCGAGTAGTCATTAAAGCAACAACAAAAACATTTTTCAATTAAAGAATGATCTCAATTTTCTGACAAAAATGTGGTAAACCCAACATTATGGAAACAAAATGTCCCCACAAAGATGGCAATATCCAAAATATGTTTTGGTCCCCCATGAGGAAGAGAGCTTATAAATCATACTAAGTGATGTTTTTTATTTATTTATTTATTTTTGCAGAAAGTTTTCTGGGATGGGTAGGTTTAGGGGTAGGGTTAGTGTAAGGGGATACAATATACAATTTGTACAGTATAAAAAAATCATTATATCTATGGAGAATCCCAATAAAACATGGAAACCGTGTGTGGTATCTTTCATCTTGGCTCCCGATTTGCAGGAGGCCAAAAAAAGAGGCTGAAAGACCAACTAAAAGGCTTTCTTAGGAAGTGTGTGATAAGGCCCACATCCCTGGAAACTAGTGCTGTGAATCTCAAGCTCTGGCAGCAACTTTGTCAGAATGGAGTACAAAGCTATGAAGACAGGGGAACTGAACATCGCCTGACTAAAAGACATCAGAGAAAGCAGGCCATGGTTGTTCCTGCCCCCTTAAGACAATCAGGAGAAACTTTCATATGCCCGGTCTGTAAAAGACAGTGTGCATCCCGTATCGGACTATTCATAGATTTCATGTGACGTCACACAGTGGAGCGGCCGCCATTTGTAGGACCGAATTGCAACATGCCGTCTATCTGCTGTGCTGTAAACTGTGATAACAGCAAATCACAAAGATATGTTGAGAAATTAACGTTGACCTGGAAATTTAAATAAAAGTAAAATTAGCAAATTACAGGTTAGCTAGCTAAATTAAAACATGTAGTTTACAATTGGAACACGTATTCTCTATATACAACCTTATTCTAGACCGCTATCTATATTTACATTATAACCTTAGTTATACGTTTGGCTGAATTATGTTGTTGTTACCTGCTTCAGTATGCTAAACTAACAGCTCACTGTTTCTGCCTTAATGCATTGTTTAAATTAATAGATTATTAGCTAACTGCATGATTTAAAGCCTATACATTGCTGAAATGCATAGCTCGGACACTCTAAATTGTAATGTAGACACATGCATTTTCTAAAAAAGCTGCTTTGATTGTGAAAAGCGTTATACAAATAAATGAGAATTGAAAATAAAGGTGTCCAAACGTCACTGATAATACAAGAGATATGTGCTTTACCAACATTATTAGCAATTCAGTTCAGCGATGCTTTTATGTTCAGCGATTACTGGTGTAACGTTAATATTGCTTGATTAACAGAGTGCCACTTACCCTTCCTGTTATCAAGAAAATTTTCTTCATGGGGGCATTTAATACAACACTAAATCATAAATCAGATATACCTGTACAATAACGTTACGATGTCCAGCAATCAATGTAAATAGTCCATTGAATTTAATTTGTTGTTTAATGACATTCAACATCCGACTATTTTACATATGTACTTTGATGGTCCAGTGGTGGAACTTTTGCCAAGCGTGTCAGAGGTTCTTGGTTCTAATCCGCCCTCGTACCCTTTTTTATTAAAAAAAACCGTTATTAAAATCGATTGTGTTTATCAGTGGTTGTATATCAGTCAGGAACACATTTGTGTGCATTTTATTTTGTGATTTCATTAAAGCGCGCGTCCGTGTGAAGACTGTGCGGTGTGCGCGAGTCACGAGAGAACACTGTTTCTGCACCACTGATCCAGAGTCAACAAGCACTTTGATCACTTGATTTAAAAAACAACACATTTCAGCGTGCTAGATCACCTCTTATTTTACTTTTATTTATGTGTATTGGTACATCTGTGCCGCGAGATGTTTCAAAAGTGGTGGAGACATGGAGAGGGATTGTGGACGAGGTAACGTTAGATGTAAATGTCAGCAAACGTAAAATTTGGCAAGTTTTTACTAGACTTTAGTGGAGTCAGCAGTTCGTTTAACAGTAAATACGGATCTATACCTAAAGTATCTATTTTATTTAAATACCGTTGCTTTTCATCTGTGCTATTTAAGTGTGCAACATCTTTCCGATCACCAGGGAGAGATGATGCGATTTAACGCAATGGTCCTAAAGATGGCGGCCACAACAAAAAAGTCACGTGACTGAAACCCATGAATACAGTCATCAAAGAACCCACAAATTATAGGAGAAGTCATCATCGGACGACGATGGACTACCCAGAAGAAGAAGAAGTGGTATCTTTCACATCAAGCCCACATGAAACCACAGATAAAGATTTTTTTCTGAACATTTTTAACTGAGCATCTGACTGAAACCATACACAAACCCTCCTGCAGTTGTTCTACTTCCACAGACCCCGCATTAAGTTCATCTGACGAACACGTGAAACCATCTCAGTTGTTTCAGTCCAAACCTTCAGATTGATGGTCCCAGACTCGTAATCTATAACGCAGAAATTGAAAATAATGAAGAATTACAAATGACGGGCAGTGGCAGAATCTGATTAGGCATATTGACATGACTTATGTCCATTGTAAATCTATGATGACTGATGTTCCATCTTCAGTTATGAAAAACAGTTTTAGAGTAGATCTTCCCAGAACAATGGCAACGGCCGCCTCAACTCTCCGGCACAATTCAATTGTCTGTAAAGCACATAGAACCACAAAGGGCCCCTTCTAGCTTTGCTTTCGAATCACTTACGAATGATCCGAAATCAGACACAAACAATGAAACTCAATATAATTTTTGTTGACATTTGAAATTTAGAGAAAATAAAATAAAGTGAGAGTGCTTTTAAGGCCAAAGAAAGTGACCTTGGTGAGGCCAGTGAGAGGTAACTTTAAAAACTCCATTATCTACTCCAGGACTTACTTGCGCTCTCTCTCTCTCTCTCTCTCTCTCTCTTTCTTTCTCTCTTTCTTTTCTTGCTTTAAGAAAGAGGAAAGCACTGTGCAGTATTTCACCTTTATCTCCCGATAGCAGGTCTTTGTGTTATCTTATTCTTATTGGAAAGAAGGGAGAAACGGGAAGGAGGGTAAAAGCCTCCAAGGCGCGATACACCACGCACTCCCCACGGATGGTGAGATACCAAACACTTCCTTTCCAAACTTTCCACACTTTCATGCTAAAGGAGATGAGAGCCAGTTGCATTGTAAAAAAGGAGCTTCTTTTGGATTTCTCTACAGACAAATAGAGGGACACATCAGAAAAGCCGAGCATATACGCAAACGCACACGCGCAGGCGTGCATACACCTCGCGCAGCAGCATATGTGCTCTCGCAGAGCCGGGCTGAATAGCACAAAGAGAACTTTTAAAGAGAGAACTGTGACATATTCCCAGAGTGTCTGTCTGCCAGTCAGAATTCCCAAGCATGCTAGGTGATGTCCTCCAAAGCACAGATCTACCTGTGCAAGCGGCCCCTGTGACAGAACACATGCCGCACTGATTTTCACAGATGGGTTGCAGTGGCCTAGTGAGGTTTTTCTCCCTTATTTCAAACCGAGAACGACAAGTTTTGGGCCACACTAAAACTGCAGCAGGATTCAGTTCTCGGTTTTTTTAAGCCTGGCACCGCGTGTGAAGTATGAACACAACGGGCCTCGGTTTCTGCGTGAACCGCCTGTGACATCAATTCAGC